AGCATGTTGAAAACATCTGAACACTATGTCTCTTTTGTTCTTAGGATAATGATTCATAAGCTCGCTGCTGCGTCATTTAGCAAATGAAACCTATAAAAGGTCATTTTTAAGTACTGTGCACTCAAGAATCAATACCTACGTGTTTTGAATGAACAGTATCTCTTAATCCTTTTCGAATTTATCTTTAGCTCGTTTTTCACAAATCATTGTCAAAGTCACTCTTCTAGTCATAAACAGACACCAACTAGATGTGAAGTGCCAATTGGAAACACAAAATCTCCTTGCTGTCACCTAGAAAGCCTCTTCACAGCCTCCCATTTTCACAGACTGGAACAGATAATCATCCAGTGAAGTGCAAGAATGAATGGGGAATAAATTACTGACTCATCCTATTATTAGTGTGAATATTACATTTCAAACTTCCATGCACTGACTTTATTTTGAGGAAGGTCACAAGAATTTAGTAGTAAAAGAACACAACGTTGTTATACAATAATGAGCAGATATGACATAAAGGCTAATACAATGTGGACTGAGGATAGGTCTTCATTTGTGATGAGTTTTTGCAGAGGGCAGGGACACTACAACAACAGTCAATAATTGCACGTTGTCCTGGGTGCAATATGGGCCATTTGAGCTACAACCTCCTAACTGCAATTTCACAGGAAGACACCGTGAATGTTTGATTTTCTAAATGAAGGCTTTCAGCTTTCTGTCATGGCTGTGCATTGACTCAGTATAAAATGCAGCGTTTAGTGAAGCTGCCCATGCATACTTGCCAACCCTCCCAATTTTCGCGGGAGACTCCCGATTTCATTGCCCTCTCCCGGGGTCATATTTCTCCCGATTTCTGACAAAATCAGATTTACTCAGGACTGTTTCCACTCTGACTTTAATACAGCTACACCATTGTTTGGTTTCCATGGTAGCGCGTCTCTTTAGTAGCGTGCGCAACTGAAAGTCTGAGAGGGTGAGGAAGATAGTCACAGAAAATAGAACAAGAATTGACAACTCTGCTCACTCCTGTCCTTCACATATGCTCTATAAAGGATGGTGCTACAGGCCGCAAGGCAGTGCCCTAATAACTACAATAAGCATGTTAATGTTAATCCAGCTCCGGCGTTCCACTAGCACCCCTCCCCCGCGGTGGTTTTGAAATGCTCCCGATTTCTGAGGTCTCAAGGGTGGCAAGTATGTGCCCATGCGAGACATTTGTTAATTAACAGTGTGCCCGACTCAACACTTTCTGTGCTGAATGGAACTCATATCTAAATTGTTACTTACAAACCTGTCACAGAATGATTATGAAGGTATTTTTCTACTTCTATGACTGACTGAGACTTTCAGCAGTACAGCATAGGCCCACTTGCTGCAAAGTTAGGAACGTTATATTATATACTATAAGAATACACTTCAATCCAGGATGTACAGCAGAAAACTGCTGAATTGAAATGATGGGATCAGGTAGGTCGACCAGCCACTAAAAACATGACTCAGCTATAGAAAGCTCAAATGGTTTTTGCTTCTTTTATGAAAGAGTGTGCAATCCATTAAATTGCATGTTCATTAAAAGAAACATCTTTATTTTAGGGCTAGGTTATAACTCAATGTTAATATGGAATTGCATCATGACTGTCTGTTATCGGGCCATATCTACCTCAGCTTTGAGTTATTTCAAACATCCCCCCCCCCCCCAAAAAATAAAAAATAAATATATAGGAGGGTTTCCTGTTCCTATTTTGTTCAGAATAGCGAGAGCTCAAGCACTTCTTCCACACAACAAGCCTTGTGGCTATTGTTCAAAAATAAATTGTTGTCCCTCTGTTTTCTATTTCTTCTTGTGTGACATCCGTGGGTCACTGCAATGTGGAAAGTCTAGATAGAAACCCTTCGTCTTTGATTCTGTGGAACTGACATCTGTATCGACTGAAACAGTTAACCTGGTTTGAAAAGATCTTTCCAACAAGCTGACCTGAAATATACTGAACAGAGATTCACACTACCAACACATTCAGTAATGGTGGGTATTTAAACATTAACAGCCAATATGATTTCCGTTATTATGCACTCAACATTTAAAAATATGCAGTGAGCGAATTATTAGTTGTAATGTCATTTTTTAACGATATTTGGCAGAGTATATAAAAGGTCAAATGTGTCTTGTTGTTCTTTGTTCAGTTGTGAGACGAAAATACTCTGAAATGCTTTTATGCAAAGCTAGTTGATGAAAGGAAAGCACCAGGGAGCTAACAGCATAAAGCAGCTGACCTAAACACAGAGAGGCACCATAACTCCCTCCCATGATCCACAAGCTAGGTCGTTGGATGTTCCTTAATTAAAGTGTTTCAATATACTCTGTCATTCTCTAGAGAGAAGCACTCGTGTTGAACGGATAGAAGATAATGCAGGTATATGTTAGCCACTGTATGATGCAAACTATCTAAGTAATGCAATAAAGTATATAATAATAATGACACAAAGGACAAAGAGGCTGGTTACTTTCACTCAACACAATATCTCTAGGTGATAGTGTTTGAAGCTTTACATGTACAGTCTACAGATTGAAGGCCCCGATGGTGTGCTGCACGTCAACCAAGAGCAGTGAGAATTGTTACGGTTGACAGGTTGCAGTTGTGATTGGCAGAGTGCTGAAGTCATAGGGTCCGAGGGACACAAGAGGTCAGCATGTGAGAGAAACATTAGATTTTCCCCATCCACAGCCGTCAGGAGCAAACTTGAAAATGCCTGTGTCAATCTAGAGCTACTGTATCTAAAGATCAAGCTTCCATGACAGTCATTTTGGGAGATGATGTCAATGAATGATGTCATGCTTATATGGGTCAGTGTTATAGGTTGCACGGATCAGCTGATCATGTCTTCTGTCTACTTTTAGTGAACATAAGATATTGGATCAGTGTTCGATATGATATAAGTCATTCCTTTATTGCCACGCAAAGTAATGCTTTCTTGGAAGGAGATATGAATTGCCCTGTCAACGTGCTGGATTGCTTAGTCTCGGTTTCAATAGCTCGTTCGCTTCCCATGATATTCTCGTAGCTTGAAAGCAGCTGTACACTGACAACAAGAAGCTCTAAATGTGTTTCTTTAAATGATTAAATGGAAGATTACTAAATATAGAGGGCAGTATTTTGTACACGGGAAGTATTAATACTGGCATTAAACCTTAAAAAGCCACTATGGTGAAAATCACCAGAGTGGCTCTTTGTTTCAGAGGAGAGTCACTGTGTGGCATCTGGGAGTGATAAAGGATTATAATGCTTTAGAAAACAACAAGATTACTTAAGCAGGCTAATGGATAGAAAATGTGACCGCGTATTAAATACTTTATACGCCTGGAGCAGCGAAGATGCCACTTGGAGAGGATTCATCTTTTGCTAGCAAAACAAATCACAGAGGACATTGTATTTAACTTTCACTACTAACTGCTCTTACTGGACTGCAGTTGTTACAATCTTTTGATTATGTGGGCGAGAAGAGGAGGAGGAGAGTGGAGATAAGAGTAGTTGTTAACAGACTAAGCACAGGTTTACAAGTTTAGGCTTGGTGTATGGTAGGTAAAAATGAATGAAAACACTCATAAGGGATAGGCTACTCTAGTAAACAACTGTCAGTTAAAATACAGTAACGCGGATTTGATGTCAACCATTGAAACCCAACTGACAGAATTTGAGTAAAAATGTTTCTGTGACTGTCAACAAAAAATAGCCGTAGTAGTAGACTAATCTCTATGTATCCATCAACAACAATTTGAATATCAAAAACATTGTCAATTTATGTTAAAATGTTTGGGTAACGATTTAAGTCTTGAGAAAAGAGGAAATTAGGCTACTTTTTCAAACATTAAATAACCGTTAAAAACGTTATTGATGTGCATAGATTCATCAAGTCAATTAATCATTTAAATATTAAAAGACCAACATTAGCTAGCAGATTTTCTTTGTCTTATTCTAAGTATATGAATCCAGAAATAACCGGTAAACGATAACAATGTTGCCGTTATATTGTGTTGTCATGCCATACAGCAACATGACAGAGAGAGAAAATGTCTGCGTTTACAACAAAGACGAGTTGACAGTGAGCGGAGAAGAAAAGTGACAGTGAGGACTAAAGTAATAAAACAAAAGCAAATAAATACAATATCACTGGAGCTAATAAAGTATGGCTAAAGACGCAAATTATTACTGAGGCAGATCAAAGAAAAATTCTAAAAGACGTTAGGCTACTTTTTCCAAAGTAAAATAACCGTTAAAAACGTTACTGAAGTGATTGTGAATAGTCAAGTCAAGTAATCATTTCAATATTTTAGGACCAACATTAGCAAGCAGATTGTCTTGTGTTTTATTCTAGGAAAATTAGGGATTTTGACTGGTGTAACATGAAAACAAAGGAATCTGATGGCATCTTCTTTAAGGAAATAGTGATGGACATTGACATCAGACGATAAATGTATGAATACAGAAATAATTAGTAAACGATAACGAAGATAATGTTACTGTTATATTCTGTTGTCATGCCATACAGCAACATGACAGAGAAAAAAAAGATCTGCGTTTACAACAAAGACGAGTTGACAGTGAGTGGAGAAGGAAAGTGACAGTGAGGACTTAGGTAACAACACAAAAGCAAACACAAATATGTTATCACTCGAGTTAATAAGTTATGGCAAAAGACACAAATAATTATTGAGGCAGATTCAAGAAAAATAAAAAAAACGTTAGAGTAACGTTCCATTTTCAAACGTTAGCCGTTCAAACCGTTTAAAACATGATTCTAACGTTAACGTTACTGCGTATTTGATGTCAACCGTTAAATAGCCCCCAAATAGTTAGCAACTGACAATTTTAGCTAAATTAGCTAGCGTCCCCTTACATCTCAGTAAGGGGTTAAACATAAGCCAGGTTAAAAAACACCGTTGTCATAACGTTACACAGTGCAGATGGAAAATATCTTGGCATTTCCAACAAAGAAAACCCACTCACCATAGTAAGATGAGCGGGTGTCCGTCTTTCTAGCCATGGCACTTGGTAGCACAAATGCAGCGTCGTCTTGGTTTTGGAGACCGCATATGAGAGTCGAGTTAAACTGGAGTTTATTTGAGTGCCTTTCAACGGTCCCGTCGAGAAATAAACACAGGAACCTGGAGAGGTCTGGGGCGCGAGGATGCTTCGGCCACGCAGCTGAGCGTCAGTCGTGTTTACAGCGCGACGTCATTAATTATTCTTAAAGGGGACGTGCACCCTCACTACTGCTGCTGCTGGATGTCCTGTTTCCCTTTGTTAGGATGTAATTTAAACATCAACGTTTTTGTGCAGTGTGTCTTATAACATGAAAATGTGTAGGATGTATATAAAGGATTGCAAAAGATCAGAGGGGTTAGTGAGCCTGTGTCTGCCAGAAGAGTGGTGATAGCCCGGTTGCTTTTCGATTGATTAATAATACAGACAACATTGCAGGTAGGCTGGTATTTTTAGGAGGCAGTGACATCTCTGTCCACACCGAGGCGTCCAGTGGATAAACACTGACCCCAGCTGGGCGTTCTTGGATATTGCAAATATATTCTCTATTTTGGCTTCCCTTTTTAATTTCAACAGTGGTATTATTTAAAAAATAAATAAAAAAATGTATATGAATCTCCTTCGAATTCGTCCCACTTGTTCTGGTTGTCAATATAAAGTCACATAATGACAAATGTATACAATTAATAATTATAATAATTCAGGTATAAATTCCCATCTAAATAGATGCAACACAACTAAGAAGAGGGCAAGAGAGATGTCAATATCTTACAAAGCACATTATTTACATGCCCATCTGTTAATGATCCGTGTTGTGTACTGCCTTCCTTTAAGTGCAGGCAAATATAATATTACTCACAAAGCGCAGATAGGCCCTCTTAATCAATTACTATTAAATGTGAAGCAGTAAGAAGTGTGTGTATGATTCAGGTTGCTCTCACTTACTAATACAGTTTCTATTATCGTGTAATTCAAACTGCACATCCTAGAGAATGTTTTCTTTTCTGCAAAGTAAATATAGATAAATAAAGCCCAGGAGCAACTTCAATCCCTTTTTAAACTGAGATAAAGTATTAGTCCCAGAACACAACAACACCCAATAAGAGAGGTATTTGCTTTACATACCTGTATGTATTCACAGACACACATTGATTACAGGGTTTGAGAGTCCACTATTTTGACTATGACCAGGACGTGGCAGCAGAGACTTAATATTCTGCACAGTAACCGGGGATCCTGTGAACTGAGCTGTGGGGTGAGATTTCCATACAGTATAAAAAAAAACAGAAGCATGTTTTATCTGTGACAGTTTTCCGCCAAAGGGATTTAACCTGAATGCTGCCTGAATAATAATTACACATCGCCAAACATTATCCCTCTTCAGACATCGACCGGTCGCCCGCGGGGGCAATGCTGGTAGATCGCGAGTCATTCATAAAAAAAAAAATCCAGTTCTAGACAAAACAGGTTTTGATCCCGCCTCCCTACCACTTAATTCAGGAGTTTACTTGATTGACAGAAAAAGCGACCTATCGCTTTCCAGTCTGTTAACCCAGAATGCAAAGCGATACAAAATCAGTCAAGTCCCGGGAAAACTCAAATTAAGTTAAAGAGACAAACAACAAAATGAGTGCGGGACCGAGCAAGAAGCTAAAGACATACCACTTCCACCCAGAATGGGAGGAAGAATATTTTTTTGTGATGTCACATTCAAAGGTTATTTGTCTTATTTGTAAAGCAAGCGTCGCTCTGCCAAAGAAAGGTAACGTGGAGAGGCATTATCGGAGTGTTCACAAGGCATATGACAGCGACTTCCCTCCGAGTAGCGAGTTGAGAAAGGTCATGTATTATTGCTACACAAATATTATCTCGCAGTCTTAGTGTCGCCAACTCGTTTCTAACATGCAAAAAGACAAACAAATGCGTCTATGGTCGGTGTATTTTCGACCTTTCCAATCCAAACGAGATCTCTCTCCCCCGTCTGTGCGCGAGGGGGCGGGGCAGTTTACACACGCGCGGCTGCTACATTCAGCAACACACGGCGGGGATGGCGGAGAGAAGCGCTCCAAGGTGTGGTTAAATGTTACCCGTCTTGAAGTGGACAATGCTCCTTGCCAAGAGTGTTTAGCATGTAAGGGCGGTAACACGAGCAATTTATCTAAACATTTATCAAAAGTGCTCCACATTCAGACGGAGGAATGCACCGGGCTCGACTGTCTTTCTAGTAGCCCTGTAGCCCCATCCATGAGTAACGTTTCCACGTCAGGTGTTATGCTAGCAGCAACACACGGAGTTAACTCAATGATACAAACATGGGTTAATGATTAGAGGTAACTGAGTTACTCTTTATTTTGTTAAAGTTTCAGCTATTCTGTTTACAGTTATGTCATCAGATTATTTAATACGATTTGTTAAAACATTGTTGTTTCTTTTGATGCGAAATATTATTTATTTTATTTAAATAAAAAGCAATGTTAATTTTGTAAACAATTTGTTAATTTAATAATATATGTATTTTTGAATCAAGTATTAATCTTTATTGTCTTCATTGTTAGTTTCCACGTGCCTAAAACAACCTCAAGCTAAATCTAAAAGTTGATGGCTAAACAAGAGCGTTTGAGAAATTGTGCAAGGCATACAGTAATAGTCTGAATAGTCGATTAGTCGTTTCATTAATCGATAGATTAATCGATTATCAAATTAGTCGTTTGTTGCAGCCCTATTATCCCATGTATAAATAAAACGTGTTATTCAGCAACCCTTGCAATTTGGGATTTTATTTTTGGTTGGTAGACCTCGGTGAGCTGGTCATTTCAAAAGTAGCTCACCAGCCCAAAAAGTGTGGGCACCCCTGCTCTATAACGACAGAATATCTAAAACATTAACACTTCAAGCATTTTAATGTAAAATTAGATTAGAAATAGGACAGGTCATTTGTATTGCACTCTGACATCCAAAAAGTGATGTCTCCCTTAGTGCTTTCTGGGTGAAAGTAATGAGATCTGAGGCTGCCAAAGGCCAGTCATTAAGAAGGGATTGACTTTTCCCGAGACAGATCATATGTTGATGTGGCAGGATCCCTTCCAGTAGCACAGGGAGAATCAGTATCACATTATTTTCCAAGTGCAATACGGTTAATGTAAAACAATTTGTCTTGGTGACACAGGATATTGGTTTCAACCGTTTATGGCCTACAATAGTGTGTCTGAATTGGAAGGCTGTGACACATCTTACAATAGAAAATACATAGATACAACATAAAAGGACTGATTTTTTTGTACCAGTCCTACTGTGTACATTTCAGGAAAATTATAATGTATCTTTTGAACTTCTGTTAATCGATGATTATTGCAGTTGGGTTTTGATGCTATTAATAGTACCAGAGCCAGATGGACCCTACAATTTATAGCTCAGTTTGAAACATGCCTGCTGTTGTGTGGATTTTTACATTATTAGCAGTGATGGCGTGTTACATCTTAACGTAGAAACCTTACTAGTTAAAGGAGAAAAATAGGTTGATATAGTTGGGAACCTTTTAATCCATCTACCTTTGTTCTTTTGTCAATTTATTTCCATTTTTATAATAAAAGGGTCTTTACAATACCCTCCTGGGACCCGAGGAAAACAAGTGTCTTCCAATTTTTGTTGTTGTTGTTGTGATTTCCTACCTATTTAGGGTTAAAAAAACATCTTGCAATTTAGACTTTTTAAATTTTATTTTATTTTTAAATGTTACAGTATGTCCCTGTAGAGGACGTCGGGACCATTTTAGTTTGAAAAGACAGCCAAAATTAACAAATCAAATTATGGTTATAGAGTGATATTAATACAATAATACATTCACCTTTATTTAAAACATCAATAATTAATTGATCTGAACATTGCTGTTTATTTGGTCACCAAAAAACAAGTTTGGTTTTTGGTGAATCTTTCCAGATCTTCAAAGACTTTGTAGTCAATGTACTGGGGAAAGTACCTCATTGACTCCAGTCGGCATGGGCTGTAGGGTCATCTTGACTAGTTTTATGGATGTGGTCTCCATTTGACCTGCTCATAGAAACAAAGCTTGCATTCCTGAGGCAATTCTCATTTTTCATGGCTCCACTTAAAATAAAAACAACAATAAGACATACGTGCTACTCTTGGCCCACAGGGGGCCATGTCTTTCCAGCTCGTCCCTATCTGTCTCTATGTGATCTATCTGTGCGCTCATGGAGCATCCTGCATCTTTCCCCCCCTTCTTCTTGACCCTCTTCTATCCCAGGTGTGAAAGCCTCATCTCTCTCATCATCTGAGAGCTCAACATCTTAATCTCCCTGAACTATCTGGTACAGAAAATGTCTGCTTCAGTTCCGTCTCCTGCAACAATATTGAGTCATAAAGTCCATGAAGATAGTCCTGACGTCCACTAGAATGGACATTTATAAAAGAGCTGTTATTTGAAAACTTGAATTATTTAATTGCTTTCAGAACTAATTATATAGTTCCTCACATGTTAATAAACAAGAACATATATGATTTTCATGGTAAAAATTACAATTATTCAACAATATTTGACTTCTCCTCCTGCTTCTATACAATTTTGTTTTTGGTATGCCAGCCATTTTGGATGAAAAGAAAGAGGAACTTCCCAGCATGCAATTTTAACCAATGACATATCACTGGAAAGACCAGGATGTCCTCTGTACAGCACATCAGAGATTGATAGAGTAGCTCAAAAAAGTAAAAGGAGATGCATGTTAACAAGCTGGGTCCCAGGAGGATACAGCCTTATGTTATCGCATGTTACAAGGTCAATCAAAGTGTGTGCTCTTTGCCAGCCAGTAGTGGGAATGTTCACTAATCCTGCAATAAATGTCCCCTCTAAGAATGACAGTATTTTGCAGAGTTGCCAGTCCATCTGCTTGTCATTCAGGGGAAATGATGGATGCCAACAGCTTGCTAATTATATAATCGCGAGGGGACACAACAGATGCAGTCACATTTTGTGCTGATTTGGTCTGCAGCCTCTCTGCACTTTCTGAAACAAAAGACAATTTATCTCCCTGTGACGGCTGTTCTTCAGCAGTTTGGCTAAAGAGGGAGTTGTTTCTGATTTAATCGGGGACAGAAGGAGATGCTTTTAACACCATCACCCTTTTTCATTCTCACTCATTGCTGCAGTTGCAATCAAGCCTGCTGTCCTTCAAATTGAAACCCCTCCGACTCCAACCATCAAAGAAAGTGATTCAGTAACACTGTACAACAGTACCATCACAGCTTGAAACGAGTAACAGAGATACAAAGTGCTTTCGGTGACTGGAGGGCTTTTATTTTTCTTCAATCGATTGGATAAACACAACACTTCTGAGAAACTGAAAATTGCATCTATGATTGTTGGGATACCAGCCGATGAGTCAATGGTCTGTAAGAGGAGACGATTTGCAAAGAGAATGAAGACGTTTTAATTCCTAAAAATGCTAATGTACCTACCTCCTGTTTCCCTTCTTTTAAAGATGTATCACAGCTAAAGCATGTGTATGAACTAATCGATACAATAACATTCACCAATGCTGCACCTCCACCCTTTCTGCAGGTGCTTTAGAAGTGTAAATTGGCAATTGATGCAAATTGTTTAGTAGACTTATATTGCTCTTTTATTATAGAAATAGGTCCTTCCTCTTGCCTATAACCGTCTGCTAACATCTAATGTATATCACTCTCTCCCATAAGAGACCAATATGCACTCTAATAACATGCAGTATAATAGTAATGTTGTGGTCTAATGTTCTTATTGAGGGATTTCTACAGTGCTTTTAAGGCAAAATATATCATTTTGTATATTTTTTTACCGTTATGAGATGGATGTCACATATTTCTATTGTTAGGATATATATTGTGTCCCCAAGAAGAACTGGACCCAACTACCATTGACATCTTGCATATGACATGATCCTGTGTATTGTGCCCACTGTGACAATACTTTAAGATGCACTCACTTTCCCTTGACTTTTAGTCTTTGCTTTGTTTCTTTACTGACACCCAGAGGCATTTCCTGTTCAAGCTGGAGACCTAATAATGAGTCAAAAGATAAACAGCTTTAGGCACAACAAACAGGTGCAGATTACTTCACACTTGTATTGTATTTGGCCCGGCGAAGGCAGACAGCCATCTGGATACAAGGTTGGAGTTAATTAAAAAAGTTTTTTTCCGTTACCCAGTCATTTGTCTGGCTCATGTGTGTGTATGTTGTGTGCGCTCCCCAGAGTTGTGTTTTGAGATGCTTTCCAGACCTCAGGGACAACTCCAATCAAAACACCAAGACTGCAAACAACCTACAGTAATCCTCTTGATTCACAATGATGTTCTGCATTGTGATGAACTGATCCTCAGTGATACAGATCATTTTGTCAAGACAATTATTCTAACAATGATTTGGCTACATTACGAGAGAGAAAATGTAAAAGTCATTAAAAAGAACAGTCAAATACACTGCATTTTCTGGAAATACATCATAATTTCATGTGATTTCAAGATGTACCCAACACCACTCCTATTGGAGCTACTCATTTTAAAATACTGAAGACTAAGACTCTTATAAATAATATACTAGATTACATAAGCAGTTACTAGTAAAATAATGGTTCACAATGAGTTAGTTCCTTGTCCATTCCAAGGCAACTACTTACATTTTTGTTTGCCTAATTGTGCAGCTTCTCCCATATTCTATGAGTTCCCTGTATCAGATACAAAGCTAATTAACCAAGTGAAACAATTGTTAAAAACGTCTGTAAATCTAGGCCAAAAACATAAAAGGGATGACGTGCTGTTCCCACATGTAACTTTTAAGTAGAACACACTGATTTTTCTCACAGCATTTGGTCTGGCTGTGTTTTTTTTTGGAGAAATTACTTACTATTTCCCACAAAGCCAAGAGATATGTTTCAGTTTGTATAGTGAGACCTGTAAAGGAATGACAAGAACATGGAAAACACATTAGAACATGAACACAATGATACAGGCTCAGAGGATGACTATAAAAAGACTAATTCCCCATTTCCAAGCTCCTCAAACAAGATTACAGCCACCAGCAAAATCTGAGTCCCATGAGGAGCTTAGCTGCTCAGATTTCCATGACAAATGCGTAAAATAGTATCCTGTCCTTAAATCGGATGTCTCGAAATCTGCTAGTGTCACAAATATGACAATGTATCACTTACTCCTGTATAGTAATGTAATCATAATTGCTAGCAGGATGCAATACAGACATATAACAGTGCTATAATTCAGAACAATATTAGTTTATACTGAGCAGTGTAACACTAAATCTGACCTACAAAAGGCTCACTCAAAACACCTAACTCATCATGTTGGCATTTAAAAAAATGTCAGTCAGTGAATCACTGCTACCAAAGTGAAATGTCCGAGTTTTATTGAGTAACCCAAGATCTTGTGCCAAACTACAAAAGGCCACTGAAGTTGTGTTTAACTAGGTATTACAATTATCATCAGATTTCCTTCTTCAGAACACTTTCTCTCAGTCACTTAGCACCTTCGTAGTCTCAATACAGTCAGCTCATTACAGAAACACATCTCCACTGAATATCTATTGAAATAAAACGATATGCATTGAAATCCGTGATTGCGTTTTATAGAACAGAAATAGTTTTCAGGAACTATAAAGTGAAAAACCAATATCTAAAATGTCTTCATCTTTACCATTTCATGTAGCCTTTGTCTGATAGCTGTGATAAAGGTAGCATGCTTTTTTCTCAGCAAACCAACGTATACTGTATGGTCATGACCGATGAGAATGATTATAAACGTGACACCTCTGTAAAGAAAATAAATCTTCATTTCAATTGAAAAATGGTAACGTACAGAAGTAGAAACTCCATTTAAAAAACCTCCATATAACAACATGTGGTATGACGAGGATGACTACAGTTTAGGATGTGAGAACTTACACAATTAGGAAATTGATTAACAAAAATGTGATCATCCAGACTGAATGCATCACTGCCATTCACTGAAGGCAATTTGAAAATAAATGTGATCCTGTATGAAAGCAATACAAAATACATCTACTGTTGTGGGAAAATGAGCTATTGTGTTTTAGAATAATGACTATCATTTTGATAATTGTGCCCGGAGACAACTGTAAAGGAATGATTTTGTAAATTGATATGGTTAGAAATGGAAACAGAAATGTGTAAACATGTCATTATAAACACACATTTGAGAACCACAGAGCTCCCTTGAAATGAAAACTATTATCATGATGTTAAGTGTGTAATTATTATTACAGCCTCATGAACCCCCAGTGAACCCTGAAAGGAGGCAAGCAGGGAAGCGGAGTTGTTTAGGACCATGAGGAGCGCAGTGTGGAGCGAGGGCGTCCCTGTAGAGGAGAGCATGGGTGAAGAGTAGTGGAGCGTCGTTTTCTGGAGCTGCTGATCCCAGTGATGCTGACCGCTCAAGTGTTGCATGCTGAAGAATCCCGACGCTCTGTGAGTGAGCTTTAAAGGATGATAGGATGAAGGCTGGAAACGAGGGGAAATGAAGATGAAGATAAGAGTGGTAATTATGAATGAGACATCAGTGAAACATTCATTTTGTGGGCAGGTTTACTGTTTTCTTAAAGTGAACTGCAGGCTGAGCTCTCATTATAGAATCCACAGTGACCTAATTGCACTTTGTTATATTTTTGTTTTTTACAGTCGCTTAAATGTATCTTATTCCCGTGACATAATCCAAATGGATCACGCACATCATTCAACATGTTTGAATTCAGCAGCTATTTTTGCCCCGCTCTCTGTTGACATGAGCATGTTGAGCGCATCTGAGTGGCACAGCTGACGTTTCATTTGCATCATGCATGAGGAAAAGATCTGCTGCAAATGTTATGGCGCCTCTACTTTGAACATTTGACATCTAATTAGTAGCTTTTCATTCAAAAAAGGAGCTCTGAAGCTGAATTAATTCAATCAAACTAAACATCTCTCATGTGCCTCTCCAGTGCCAAGGGGTTAGTGGCATCATCATCGTCGCCATGGTTACCAGTTTGATGTTGATGTACAACAGCAGCACTGGCGAAAGATCGTCTTCCTCATCGGCATCATCAGCACCGTCCAACCGTTCAGATGGTGCGGTTACATCCACGAAAAAGCCAGAGATACCTAAGAGACTCCAGACAGCAGCACTTCAGGGGTACACAGGTGTCATGGATCGAAAGGTAAATATGCACCATCTGTGAATGTGCACTGATCTGTGTCCTCATGCAATTTAATGATGCACATGATCCTGTTGCCTCTGATTCATCCTTTGAAACGTTAGAATATTTATGTTATTTGAGCTCCAAACGTTTGTAATAATATGTTAAAGCTAGGTAGTGCGTATGAAGAAAAACAAATGAGAGTTAATTGTATTAATCAGGGTCTTTATGCCATTGTATTGTATTTGTCTTCTTTGAAAATAAGACAAACAAATATGTCCTACTTTCAAAGAAATAAAATATGCAGGAGTTGTGTAGGCGGGCACAAAGTAGCAAACATTCATCCGATGCTACAGATGTATTGAGCCTCAGCTTGGTTGTGTGTTACAACAAAAACAGAGGCAGTGTTTGGGGTGAGGAATCAGGTTCCTGTCACTGCATTGGTGTCTGCATGGAGATGGAAGTGGGATTTGGGGGGATAATGTGCTGGAAGGTGAGAAGTGGCTTTTAAATGTTTTGAAGTGAGCACATAAAAGGCTGGCAGAGGTACAATGGAGATGGGTAGCTGAACAAAGTGCTTTTGGTTGCACACAATGAGGTGAAAAAATACAAAAAAGAGCGCAGTTAAGTCACTTATATAACTCTATTGACTGATATGTGTGTCAGACAGATTTTGCCCATTGCAGTGATTCAGTCAGTAATAACCACAGTGGCTATCCTTTAACTGGACAGTGCATTTGGACATACTTGTATCATGCACATGGTCCTTGAAAATACCCTTAATAGAGACATTATGGTCTGCATTGGGAAATATGACTTGGACTCTACGAAGCTACATCCTTCACATATATGGCCTCACACCACCTGCAAACAGAAAACATTAAGAGTACACAAAAATACACAGCAGCTTATACCAAACACACACCATGAGTGTGTCGGACCTACTACAAACTCCCTTACTTCTCAATGATGGATGTTGTAGTCATAGTGTGTCTAAAAAATGGGGCTTAAAACTGGATTAAAAGTCCATTTATGACAGCCTCTGAAAAAACGATATAATGCCACAGAAGCTCCACTGTCCTCATGTTGTTTAAAAACCAAATGCATAACGGCGGTCACATCATCTGTCCACTTTCAACACTGCACCATTCTAAAAGCTTTCATCACAACTGATGTAAGAGCAGCTGGTCTAAAATTATTGTTTTCCGTCAGAGTGGCTCTCAAAGGGAAACGAATAATTACAGAGCTTTTCCATTGCTGTGGCTTTTTTGCAAATGCATAGTATAAACGCGCCTAATCTGTATTCTGCTGGCATGCAGGTGGGCAGAGAGATGAGTATGTAAATGTAGGGTTCAGGTATTCACTGAAAAAGCTGTTTGAAGCTTCATGTGCTTCCCTGGTTTCAGGGAGAACTGAAAAATGTTCTTCTTCCCGTTTGAATTGTGTACATGTCCTTAACAACCTCCCAGTTAAATGTGATATCAAGATATTATGTTTGGACGAAACAATTATTCTATTTGTCATATTTCGATTTTTAGCAATAACTATAAGGCAGTCGTATTTGCACCAGGGTGATTATAGTGAACAATGCTATTTACACCCTGGTCTTGCTTTGTCACTTAGTATCCTAATTCCACACTTTTCGGCATTGTGTGACAAAGGGAAAAAAAAGCTGAATAACTGTGGTGAAGCTAGTTACACCCGGGTGCAAATTGACACAGTTCTATAAATGTGATAATTGAAATTGTGTTATTTCTGTTAATGGAAAACATGGTTGAGAAACTGAATAAAGAACTGAGAGAATTTAGGGATGGTATGGCCACTGCAAATTTGCCTTCTGACTTTAATGTTTTGAGAGATTAATTGATATTATTACAGTTTAATCGTGTCGTGTGAGGCTGTAATAATATCAATTAATCTCTCAAAACATTAAAGTCAGAAGTCAAATTTGCAGTGGCCATACCATCCCTAAATTCTCTCAGTTCTTTATTCAGTTTCTTGATTCATAATTTATGTTCCCAACATGAAATATTTATTGATAAAAGCACTTAAAACAGGATGGATTTCGACTAGCACTGCTACTCAGGACACCGCTGCTGTAATCTTTTAGTCTTCTGAGCTCCTCAGTCAGTAATTCAGAGGCCTATAATTCAGACCCATGCAGCACAGTGTTACAGTTCATTCAGGTAGACATATCATTCAGTGAGAAAGATAAGCAGTAAGGCACAGCAGAGTGGAAAGTAGCGTTCGCCTCAGAGAGGAAAGGATTTGGAGGAAACGTTTTTTTAAAGGAGTTTACCCTTCGGGGATAAATGATGAGAGATATGTGTTCATTTGTAGTGATATTTGATCTGGATCAGGCTTGAATTTTTGAATTCTAGATTTGAATTTCCTTTTCAATGTTGTAGTGCTCATCAGATCCCTTTAAAGTAAATGAAAAAGCAACATTCATCCACTAGTTTTACAGCAGCTCTAAAGATAAATTAGAGTTTTTTGCAGTGCGGGAACTTCATTATTCACAATCTCTCCTGACCTTCAACCTCCTCCTGACAGCTGACACACTGTCTGTCAATCAATCAATCAATCAATCAATCAATCAATCAATCAATCAATCAATGTTTATTTATATAGCCCAATATCACTGCAATATTTTCATATGCTTAGTGTCCCTCTCCCACCTCCACCCATGGGGGCTCTTTCTGCTGCTCTCTGGCTGCTGATGCACCCTCTGACAGAGCGGGTGTGGGTGGGTGCATCGCTCCAGAATGTTCCCTACAGGGTCATCTGAGGTGTTGCTGATTATGTAAAATGATTGGCTCACACACACAGGGTGACACATCCACATTAGCACAGCAACAGTGCATGCATTTAGACATCTTACACTCCATGCAAATGCCCACACATTTTGTTATGCCCTCATCAGAGCTAGGGATGCTTCAAAATGTGACGATAGCTCTATCTAATGTGCCTGCTGGACAGTGTTTATGACCCGTATTAACTTATATGCATATCTTCTTTTCATAGGCTGTGATTTCACCAATGTGGGTGATGGTCTGTGGCAGCTTTCCTCATTTATGTCGCACCCAAAACTTTGCAAAACATCCATTAATCACCAAGAACATGCTGCTTTATGTGGCTCAAAGGAGTAAACATTTGGCCTCTCCTTGAGCCCTTTCAGTTCTTAATGAGAAAAAAGCAAAACAGCAGTACTGACAATCCGCATGCTGTGAGATCAGGCTTTAAATAATAGTGCACATTTACTGTATGTGGGATATTTTGAGAAACTGAGTCTGTGTTAATGATGTTCCTCTTTGTCTGCCTTCTGCAATGTCTGCAGGTTTTTGTGAGATGTTTTCCTATTGGATGTATTTATTTTCTTTGACAAGCTACAGTAATTGGAGCTGCAATGCTGAATAGACTCTTTCAAACACACACACACACACACACACACACACACACACACACACACACACACACACACACACACACACACACACACACACACACACACACACACACACACACACACACACACACACACACACACACATCTTGAGCGAGACAGCCGCTTCAATTTTCTCTATTTATCAGATTTTTTTCTCCGTATCGAGTTAAAGAGATGTTGACCTTTGACGAGCTGTCCGCAGAATCAATTTGCTCCAATCAGAGCCAGTGTGAGAGCATGAATGTGGATTGTGTGCCTGTGCCAGTTCATGATTTTGTCTATACCTGCGCTTATTATTGGCAATACCTCTCTCTGCTCCCACAGCCTTTACAGCAGTGGTTCTCAAAGTGGGGGGCGCGCCCCCCCCCCCCCAGGGGGGTGCAGAGGCATGACAGGGGGGGCACGAGAGACCAGGAGGATTTTTTTTAAAAATTATTATTATTAAAAAGAAAAAAATCATATTTAGAAAAATTATTGATTCGAAAATAATATGATACAGTACTATTACGTCTGGGTCTCTGTGTTTCATTAAAGCTTGGCTCTGTGTGCGTGTGGAACGAGCCATTTTGTGTGCGTGCGCGAGCAGGAGAGAGAGAGAGAGAGAGCGCACCGGTGCCGGAGATCGTTGTTGTTAGCTTCTGGTGCTAGCGAGCTACGCTAACGGATATAAGGAGTTTTTTCAACAACAAAGTGGAGGAGAGTCCTCTCCTGTCAGACTGAGAGACTCAGTGAACTAAAGGACTCTCTCAGTGTTATCTCAGTGGGTCTCAAACGTTTTAGTCACCATTAATGTAAACAATTATTTCCGAGGCACACATTTATATGATCATTATAGTTATAAAAAAATAATCGAATAAATTCAAAACAGGTATGAAATACTATATGACATTAAAAAAAAGAATAAAGTTTAAAAGGGGAGTGATTTGTAAAATATCCATAAAGAAAAAGTAAATCTGTTAACAGTTCTGTTTCAAATGGGTGTTGAGAGATGTATCCATAGATCTCTTCATTTTGCTCTCAAAGTGCACCAGATTGATGCATTTAACTTCAATATTTAAAAATCTTCCCGGGGGAGCTTGCCCCCGGACCCCCCTATGTGAGGTCCACACACCACCTATAAAAATAGCACTTGACCCCTGCTTACACCTATATGCCGTGAGCTGATTATCGAGCCTTCATTGTAACAGTGTATATGCGTGGGGAATGTTGCAGTAGAAAGTTCCACTGTAGCGCCCGGTACATTAATGGGAAACCCTAAATGTTTGAGCGCCCTCCATGAAACGTCAAGCTACCCCACAGCACCCCCAAAATAAATCTCTGGCGCCGCCACTGAGCCTGACTATTTGTGTTGGGGGGGGCCCGACTTTTTTTTTTCTCCAAAGGGGGGGCCTGACAGAAAAAGTTTGAGAACCACTGCTTTACAGTAATGCAGTCAACCTCTGAGAAATTGGTGTCATTAGAAATGTGTCAATTATACAAGAAAGTCTCCCATCTACGCTGACCCCTTTCAATGTAAGATGTATTATACAATAGATATTACATATTATACTTAATGGATGAGGCTTCAGCACGTGCACAGTGAGGTCCTGGAAAACAGATAAGGCGTCATCCTAAGATTGATTTTACTGCCCCTATATGTGCCTATATACCTGAAAGTCCCATTTACATTAACATGTGATTTGTATCTGGATACATTTGACTGATCATTACACCTGATCTAGATCTTTGCATTTACACCTAGTTATGAAATGTCTTCTTGTCTTCAGGACCATGTCTGCAATCTGACGAGATTTAATTATGCAAATTAGTTTTTCCACCCTTTTTTGTTGTCATCAAAGCACTCTAACTACCTTTTATTTTGAATACCTGTACTACTACTAAATGGACAAGGTGAAGGGCAAGAGCTGTCTGACAGGAAGTCTTGAATATTCTGAAAACCAGCCAAACATAGTTTCCTATCTTTCCATCAAAGTGCGCCTAACGAGGCCACGTATACTTTGAGATGCTGCCATCCCCTTCTCTCTGTTTGACTGCGTGCAGAATAAGACAGGCACCTTGATTATCTCGCCTTTATTCCTTCAAATTGAGAATAGAGCAAGCTTTAAAGTCTGTTACCAGGAGGAGCTTAATGAGATGTCAACTGTCAGGAGGATTTGGGTGTAATTAATTGGTTTCTGAGAAAAAGAAAGCAGCTCTGATCATTAAACCTTCACACCACGCTACAGGTGTCACTCAATCCACCTCTACTGGGGCCATTAGCCTAATTATGTGTGCTACGGAAAGAGCACAATTACTGATATGATAATGATCAAATTCCAAATAATTTGTGCCACTGTAATCAAATACAGCTGGCCACTGCTCACATCAAAGGGATTGGACTTCAAAGGATAATATTCCTATTCCTTTTATTGTCTGTGTAGCCAAAGCTTAATGTGTCTTATTCCTCTGAGCCAGAGACCTTTATCGAAGCATTGTTGCAGGGTGACATTTACCTTCATCTTGATGTTGCATGTTTGCCGTCTAACCCACGCACAAGCTTTCACAGATAAATATGCAGTTTCACACTACATTTGCTGCTGGAAACACTCTCTAACAAATGAATGAATACCTCGTGTTTGAAAGCATTTGAGACAGAATACTACAAAATGATTTAGCATTTTAAAAAACAAGAAGTTATTCTAAAGTTATTTGATAGAACAACTGAATGTATGGATAAGAGCCACAGACAAGGCGTGCAAGTCAGAAAATGTTGAGAAATGGACTGTAACACATTGTTGAGTAACGTGTGTGTGTGTGTGTGTGTGTGTGTGTGTGTGTGTGTGTGTGTGTGTGTGTGTGTGTGTGTGTGTGTGTGTGTGTGTGTGTGTGTGTGTGGCCTAGCATTACTGCACTTGTGGGGACCTAAATCTGTTTACACAGTCACGTGTGGGGACTCGCCTCCCTTATGGGGACAAAATGGAGGTCCCCATGAGGGGAATCATTAATTTTAGGGTGAAGACTTGGTTAGGGTAAGGGTTAGGGTTAGGCATGTGTTGGTTATGGTTAAGGTTAGGATAAGTCTCCAGGAAATGCATGCAAGTCAATGTAATGTCCCCTGAAGTGATGTATACATGGTATGTGTGTGTGTGTGTGTGTGTGTGTGTGTGTGTGTGTGTGTGTGTGTGTGTGTATGTGTATGTGTATGTGTATGTGTGTGTGTGTGTTGTGTGTTGTGTGTGTGTGTGTGTGTTGTGTGTGTGTGTGTGTGTGTGTGTGTGTGTGTGCGTGCGTGCGCGTGTGTGTGAGGGAACATATTGTCATTTATAGAGTAGAATACTTTTGTTTCAGGGGTCAGAAGACTAGAAAAGCACTATTTAAATGCAATTCCATTTAACACAACAGGCAGCCTATTCTATGGTGAGCTATACATTTAGATGTACACTTAGGAATCATCACCAGGACCCTATGGAAATGTGGGACGAAGACATATTTTTTCATGGGATTTATTGACGATAAGGAATACAGAATAACACCAGCCTTATCACCGGGGAAAATAAACCAGAGGATCATTTTTGCTCATTACTAATGACTCCTCTCTGACCTCTCCATAGCTTTTCCAAGTTTCCTGCAGGTTTTCACTTTCCTTCTTAAATTGAAAAGTGTGGGGGGGGGGGGAGGCTGGTGGTTTGGAGGCTCTGGAGTGATATTAGAGGCTGACTGATGGGGTTTTCTCAGAAAGCAATTATGATCCTGGTTTCCCCTGGGAAGTGTATAAACAGGATCATACTGATGACTGTGTGGGCGGTAATTGACTGGGACTGCAATTGGAGCCAACCCCCTGTGTCTTCTTCTTCTTCTTCTTCTTCTTCTGCTCTAAACGCCTCCACCTCTTGCAGTGCGGCAGCTATTTTTTACCAGTTTTTAAGACAATTTGATCGTCTCTGTGTTCTCTCAACAAAAGGTCATACAGATGTTTTTACAGGCGTACCTGTTCACCTAATCATTCTTTCATGGCATTGGTTAGCCTGATATTAGCTCTACAAGAATACTTGCCAGCCACTTTGATCATTTTAGTACAAGGGCACTAAATGTTAAGAAACTATTTTAATGTATTTTTTATAAACTGCCTTCCGAAGTTGGTGAATATATGACACATTTGGAGATGTCTATACAATGCCATGACAGTCTCTCTCTAGTCCATTTGGCATCAGAGTTCACTGAATGGTCTCATAAAGTTGATAAAACTAAGAAAGTGTTATCTTATGGGGTCATGCATTATTAATGAAGGTAGACAACCCTGTGTCTGCATGATAAAGTGCAGAATGAGTGTGTGTGGGAGTCAGTGTGTGCTCAAGTGCTAGTTTGCTCACAAATTAAAGCACCGCTGTGTTAATTCAAGGTTGATTACAAGTTCAAATCTACCCGCTGAAATATGCAAAACCCCACTCTTCATTTATTCATTAATTCAGCAGTCCGTAGGTCAAAACTGCAGCTTCCTGCGGTCTGAAATATCATCATCTGATTGCGGATGCCCTTCTCAATGTGATATATAAGTGGCTATTTCCCAAATCATCAAGCTGTCAGAAGCTCAGGGAGGTGGCACTGGAGCTTCAGCATCACTGTCAAGGACCCTTTTTAGTATTTCACCAGCAATTCAAACAACACTGTCCATGTAACCTTCGATGGAGTTTGACACATTCCCTGAAAATAATCAAAAGTTTCTCGGAAGTAATTGTTTGGATGACGCCGAGGGCAAAACGACTATCTGTTGTATGCAAAAGAAGAAAAACCGCTGAAAGGACAATGATTTTTTTCCAAGCTACTGCAGGGTTTGTGCAGTGAAGTGCGTAATTTGCTCCAGCCAACCTGTTATTGGAGGGGGGGGGGTCTGCAGACTGAGGGCTAACACATTCAAAGAAAGACATACTGTGAATACTGGGAGTGTGTGAGTGGTAGCACATGTAAAGTAGTACAACTGGACTTGTATCTTGACACTTTTTAGACAGTTGCAGACTTTTGCAAGAGAAACGTGGCGGTATTACATGGCATCAAACTCAGATATGTGGGGGAAACTTCTGTGTAGCAATGCAGGAGGAGGAGAGAATGTCAAAGAGTCAGAGGTTCTGACTTCATTGTAGAGTTGCCACGTCAATTCTGAAGAACTCTACCCCAGACCCATGTATTGAGCTAGTTCAGAGAGAATAATCAACATTGTGCACAACAAGATAGAATCATAACACCTCTATCAGCTGACGCCAACAGGCAGGAACAGGGAGACAAAACACTGAGAGCACAGCAGCCACGGTTACAGGTGCGTGTGCTCAGTCAGTATGAACTGATACACTGGGGCAAAGTTATGGGTCTTTGAAAATATTTCCCCAACAAGATACAGAACTACACAGATGCACACACACATAGTGGACACACACACACTAGATTATCATTCAGTATTATAACTATAGCAGTGGAAGCAGCAATGCCTACACACACACACACACACACACACACACACACCTTTCCCGCCCCAGAACCTGATGGATTGTGAAGCTTGGCGCACAGTTCAGAATGCCAATGTGTCTCTCTTTTAAGGTTGAGAATAATTCATGTGAGGAGACTCTGGGTCGGATCGCTCAATCTGAGCTCGCCTTTTCCAACTTTGAAAAAAAAGCTTGGTCAATACAACCAAACCAATACCGGACCAACACAACAGCCCTGCATTGCACCTTAACAAAGCTAGAAAACTGCTGAAAGCATTGCTTGTTTCGTTTGCATAGATTGTGTTTGACTGAATAAATATACCGGCTAAAGTGTATTCATGGTTTTCCTATTAACGAAGTGCACTGAATAGCCTCTGCTCTGCTGTCAAGCTGCATTTCATTTGAATAATAGGATATCTGATATAAGAGCACAGGTGGGAAGTAACTAAGTACATTTATTCAACTGATATGTACAATTTTGTACTTAAACATGGATTTAGAGGCAGAAAAAGAACTGTAAGAAATGTGATGGCTTAATAAGACCAGGTTTGCCAGCCTGTCTTTAATATGTTCTGAATGAAACTAACACTATTTCTGACCTTTAACCTTTTACCTCACAGCCTCTGAAGATGCACTGCAGGACCTGTGCTCTGGTGACCAGCTCCGGCCAGCTAACGGGGAGCAAGAGAGGCGAAGAAATAGACAGCAACGAGTGCGTAATCCGTATGAATGACGCCCCCAGCATAAACTATCAGCGGGATGTTGGCCGACGTACAAACCTGCGTGTCGTGGCTCACTCCAGCCTGCAGAGGGTCCTGCGGAGCCGACAGCAGCTGCTTAACGCCAGCCAGGACACGGTTTTCATCTTCTGGGGACCCAGCAGCTGCATGAGGCGGGATGGAAAAGGCCACGTTTACAACAACCTCCGGCTGTTAAACCAACTCCTACCAAGGCTTAAAGTCTACATCATTTCTCGGACCAAAATGCTAAAGTTTGATGAACTGTTTAAAAAGGAAACAGGGATAGACAGGTAAATGCACCAAGAATCAGACCTGTCTTTGTGAGGTTTGAGAACTTGTGTGTGTGAAAATAATAAAATACAATATGGAATAATTAGTTAGAGTTTAGCCAGTCAAAAGCATCACATATTCCCACTTGCTTAAAAAAGAATAAGTCAGAGCTCCTAAACACTCACAGCATAATTCAATTGGATTTAGATTAAAAGGTGTCTGTTATCACTGAAAGGATTTTAAGGGATTTGAGTCATGCAGAGTTTAATGTTGACCCACTACTGCCTGGATGAGGGAGAATATTGCAAAGCATTTCCAATATAGTGCCACCAGTAAGTAAGACCTTTGCAGAAATCTCTCAACATAGGAAGAAACATACATCAATCTCATGTGAGAAATGGGTAAGAACAGACAAATGATTGAATGAGTGAGAAATTGAAATATACTGGAAAGACACAAAACAGATGAATAATAACACTCGATAATGGGTAGTAGCTCATTCTGCATCTTTTATGCAAAGAAGTGCCACAGCTGCCTAATTCTTCTTGAATCAGCGAAAACATTTGGATAAGAACTTGTTTTTTGTGATGGAATTTAGCTCTGGTACACAGCCTCTCACCAGAGTGAGTAAGAAACTCCAAATCACAGTATTGTTTTAGGTTATTGCGTTGTAGATGCAGAAGTAAACACATGTTTGAAGATATTTAGCACGTAATTCCCAACAGAAAGTGTTCCCCTTAACTGAGAGAGGATTTACCATTCACATTTTCAGACGCAGGTGTAATGCTAATCAACATAAATGAAAGAAAATGGCCATACCGCAAAGGATTTTGATTTACTGAGACCATCCTAACTTTCTTTGTTTATACTGAGTATTAAACAGTTTCTTGCTTTTTACCACATGACAGTCACATGTGGCTTTTTTGGATGCTGGTCTGTACTGTAGAAAAACGTCTGAATAATTTTCTTACAAAATAAGAGCTTAACAGAAGAAGACATTTGTCAGCGTCAATCTATAAACTCATATGCATTTGAACAGTAAGTCAGCGGGAAGATGAGAGGACGTTGAATATGAATGGGGAATTCAATCACTTCGGCTGTCATGCAAGCACTGCCTGAATAAATATCTTGCACTTTGATATTTTTGTTGGGTTTTGTATACAAGGCATATAAACAAAGAAGGTCTTTCTTCAGCTAGTCTTTTGCTTTGTCTCTGAAAAGATGACTGATCAGATGAAAGCTATAATTATTGGTTCATATCTTTCTTTGTATTTGATCAGATACTCTTTTTAAAGAGTTGGTACTCCCAATATATGTTTAAACTTTAAATGTTAATGTTCTCTTGTATTTCAGGAAGAGCTCCAACTCCTGGCTTAGCACCGGCTGGTTCACCATGGCGATAGCCGTAGAGCTGTGTGACCGGATCAACGTGTACGGCATGGTGCCACCTGATTTCTGCAGGTGTGTCTTTTAATCAAAAATGTTTAGTTTAGAATCTTTGCCCATAAATAAGCTACAGAAAAACACAACTCAAATACTATGTACCCTTGATAAACTGCAGCTAGGTAGGCAGTAACCGGACAGGATGAGATAGATTTCTGTTCATTTATTTATATACAAAGCTTTATATTTTAACTTTGACACCAGCAACAAATGTTATGCTTTTGGGGAGTCTGCTCACCTTGAAAATGTGGCAGCCTAAGTATAATATAAGTATAATGTTCTCTTTTATCTCTGTTTTGGTCTCTACCAACTGGTGTGGTCTAGTTCTGTTTAGTGGTGTGCAGGTAGTGTACACAGTTAACTTTTCTAATGAGAATCAGCTGATAAGAAAATCCATTTCAATGTTCCACAATGGTAATTATGTGTTGGAGCTTATGAAAGCCTCTTTCCAAATATTATTCTTATCAATTATTTTTGACATTGAAATGCAGAAAACATATCGTCTTCAATTATCTTTGACAAAGGAACAAAGCAAAGTCCCTTCTTTAGTCAGTTTCCTAGCAACTGTGTGAACACAACAAGAAAATTGTGTCCTTGGATTTTCGGATCAAAAACGGTACCTCACAGGTTTCAATTAAAGGCGCCATGATATAACATATCTAACGGCCTATTTAATATACCATTAATTATATGAGGAAAGACTATGGTGCAACAGAAACTCTAACAAACAAGCAACCAAGTAGAAATGACAATAATAAAGAACAGAGTTTTTACTAAAAGAATAACATACACATTATCCACAAACCCTTTTTAAGAGTTGCTCTATGCCAGTACCTGTTTCATCAGTTACATTTTACACCCAAGTCATCCATCACAGTTCCTTATCGTCAGGACTCACTTTGTCACATCGTGTCTTAAAAAGTGGGGCAAATATTGCATGAGATGGACAGGACACTCTTCCGTTGCAGATTGACTCTGTGATTCACTGTGTGCTGACAGCGTGGGTGTATTTCTACTTCCAAACCAAAACCAAAATCTTGTGTAATACATCTTTGATGACGTTACATTTCATTGAGCTTATCCAAAGCGACTTACAATAAGTTAAATAAACCGCTATAGATACAAACTCAGAACAAAAAGGAAACGCAGACATATTTGCACCAAATAAGCCAAACCATTGTAAGAGCTGGTGCATTAATATTAAATGGGCTAGATTTGACTTACTTTGTAAGCTGAACTGTTCCGTAGGCTTATACTTTAAGTGTGAATCTATACGCTTACAGTCTGAATTTGCTTAATAATTTTCCCTTTCTCCGGTTCATTTGTTCTTTTTTTTTATTCTGTAGCTACACCTATGTTCAAGAGTTGTATACTGGTAATGTAATATGATACTCCACAAGCCCAGGTTCCCAGGAAATATAAAAATGATTTGGATAAGGATATTCTCACGCACTAAAGAATGCCTGACGTTTAAATATTCATGAAGAAATGCAGACCGGATTGAAGTGACTCTTATCTGAGTCTTCCTCTGAGCTTGGCGTGAATATCAGAGGACTAAGATGGTGAATAATGATCACATCTGTTAGCTTAGATTCTTCTGATCTTCCTGGTTTTCTTTGTTCTTCTTCCCATTTCTCCCCTACTGTGACTCGCTTCCACTCCCCAACCCTCATTTCAAAATTATCCCCATGCTGTTTCCCACATTTTCCCTCACACTTTGATTTTCGTGCCTTTACTTTTCTCTCTTGTCTCCTCTCTTCTCCCTGCAGATCCTCCTCTCATCCCTCCTTGCCGTATCATTACTACGAGCCCTCGGGACCCGACGAGTGCTCCATGTACCTGTCCCACGAGAGGAGCCAACGAGGAAGCCACCATCGCTTCATCACGGAGAAGGCTGTGTTTGCAAACTGGGCTCGAACCCTCAACATCCACTTTCACCAGCCGGACTGGAAGCCAGCTGCCGTCATGAACAGCTCATACACTCCTGTTCCAGCTGGATCCTGAGATTCAGATGATCCCCAGAAGTGTGTGTGTGTGTGGAAGGTCTCCAGATCTGAGTCCTCTCTCCGGACTACATGAATGCATGAGACAGCAGTAGGCAACTGTTGTGCCTGTTAGCCGAAGCAGCTTGGCAGAATGGGATCATTGCATAATAGCAGCACAACGCCCCAACAATGCTTTGGAAGTGTTACTATACTAGGATGAATTTCAAACAGGTGTCAAAGCCATGGAGGGTGGTTCAAGTGTTATATTTATTCTGTGTAGTGCTGCTTTAACGACACTCGAGTTGTCAGAGAATTGTCAGTTGTTGTGAACTCAATTCAGACTCATTGAGGACACCGAGGTCATGTCCTCACCATTTTTTTGTTTCTCATCAGTTTACACTTTACAATCACGCACAAATAAAACATGTTTTTCAACGATGATTTTGATATTTGTTTGCAGTTACTGTGTTCAATTCTTTAAACGCTTCCATCCCTTTTTCAATAAACGTTCTCACTACCGAACATCACAAAGAAACAGCTCAAAAGCACACCTCCCATTTTTAAGGTTGTAATATATTAATTATTTCTATGCCAGTAACAAAACAAGCCCATAGCAGTAAGCCAATTATTTTAAAACTATACAGGAGTTAACTGAAATAAATTCAAGGATTTACAACATATAATAATTTTGCATACTACATGTATTAATTAAAAAATCATGTATATAACATTTTACAATATAATCCTCCTAAATCATATCTAGAATGCAGTGTCATCTCTATTGCTGTGTAACAGATGGCCTCTCAGAAAGGTCCTGCCAACCAATGTCTCTGATGCTCGAGGACATGATTTGTCCTGTTATTAAAGCCAAATGTCCCTCAAAAGCAATCCAACTGCAATACTGATACACATGATTACATCAAAAGTGTCCCGAGCAGCCTGTTCAATCCTGACCCACGGCTTCTGTCTCAGCCTCTTCAGCAAAAAGAGGGGAGCTGCCTGTTAACAAGGGATTATACTGTGCTATCCAAGCGTATCTCCAGGGCGAGAGGAGCAGCATGACTGTTGTAGAATTCAAGATGTGCCGTTCTGCAGAGAGGGCTGCAAAAAGACATTTGACTGCTGCTGTTCCCGTACTCCAGTGGAATCTTAATGTTTCTCTCAGGTGCTCTGAGAAAAGCTATGCAGTGCTGTGGTGTCATGCTAAGTGCACTGAGCTCTACTCCAATTACTGTCTCCTCAGGTCGAGAGGTTGGATTTTAAAGGCTTCAAAGGGCAAGCTGGCTGCAAATAAGTAAGCAGTCGCTGTCTTAAAAACACAGAGTCAAGGCGAAATGTTGATTTTCAATGACCTTGGAAACCTCAGGAGACAAACAATGATACTGAAATGCTTGGAGCTGAAGATGTGACTCGGGCATTTTAACAAAGTCTCCCTACTGGCACTTCCTTAGGCTAAACCAAGCTAAACTAGGCTAACAAGCTGCTAGCTTCAGACACATTTTCACATGTAAATCTCAGAAACTATTCCTTTGCGATGCAGCCCCTTGATGCAAAACTGTGTGCAATGTTTTAGAAAATATACGATCAACAAAAGTGTAGTAATTCAAAATCCACATTTTCATTTGATATCAAATACAGACGTTTTTTTGCCCTATTGTTTTATAGTAAAAGCTCTTTCATTTTTATTCAAGAATTCAACTCGCCCTCATTTCCAATTTCCATTAAAGATGTTCCAGTGTGTGTGTTTTTAATACCTGTGTGTGGCGGTGACACCTCTGTAATAGAGCTGCAGTTTAATCTCCTCTGCTGCAGTTTGACTGTGACACATATCACACACACACATAACCTACTGCTGATAAGCTCAATGTGTGAGACTCAGTTACAGATAGCAGACTGTAAAGTAATTGTGGAGCTTTATCAGCGAACCTGCAAAATACCATCGTGTTTCAGAGATAAGACTTCATGAATGAGCTCTCTTTGATTTATAACATAAATAAGGAAAACTTTTTTTGCAAAAAGTTATTTTGAATACCAAGAACAGCCCTTTTTATATACAGAACTGTGTGATGTGGGTTTACAATGACACCTGGTGGCTGTGTGTGTCTTGTCAGGCTCTACAAAAAGAAAACAGTTAATCAAAAATATTTTCTGTTAAATGTATCATGTATATGTTAGAAGTGCAACGTGCAGCAGTTTAGTAAAGTATAATCATTTTTAATGTATCAACTTTTCTGGCGTTGAAATAATTTTATAAACACTACAAATACAAAGAAAGTATATTTTGACGTTTGGTATGAATTTATGCCAAATACAATGGCCAATAGAATTGCCTCAATATGGCACTATTTAAATGGGTTTGTTTAAAATTCAGCTTGTATAGTAAACAGCATATTTTTTATAATACAAAAGCATTCAGTGGTAGAACAAACTGTTAAAATAGTCTAAAATATTTGTTTTAAAACCTCTTTTTCAGATGAATACATTACTGAATTTTGAACTCAAATGCACGACTCACAGGTTTTTAACAAAAAAGGTTTTATTCAAACCAAAGCTCAACGACAGTGGTAAACAAAAACTAAATCACTCTTAACGAGGAAAAACAGTATCAAAACAAAGTCACTCTTAATGAGGAAAAAACACTAACAAAACAAAATCACTTAAATGAGGAAAAACATAGGAGCATGAATATATGAATACTTAGACAAGACGTGTCTCAAAGCTCTGCTTGGGATTCTTTCTGGTATGATACGCTGGTAGACTGTCACAAGAAACGAAACGAACTGGCACAGGACAAAGGGAGACGAGGACAATAAATACACCAGGTAATGGGGAACAGGTGGAAACAATCAGGGGCGTGGTCGACAATCACAAGAGTGGGAGACACACAAGGAAGGGAGGTCAGAGTATCTGAAACGAGAGGAAAGGTTACTATTCAAAATTAAAGGGGAAAATCACTAGACAAAGACAAAAACACTTAACTAAACTAACATCATTTGCGAGAGATGACAATTGCAGTAGTCATGTTTAATGTGTCTGAGCTAAATGAGTTGTACAAGTTAGAATCAATATTTTCACCTTTAGCGCAGATAGAGACACAATTGCAACATTTGTACTTCCTTTGCTCAGGATTCAAGGAGCTCCTTTGTTTCGAACATGCTGTTCAGGTTTGGACCTTCTGCAGGGTTTAGTGTTCCTCCATAAAGTGAGGTAAGGGATCCACTCTCTTTAGTTCAGGGCAACAGTGTGAGGTTTTCCCATGATGCTCCTTGCTAATTACAGCTGTGCGTCTCTTGATGGATCAGCATGTTTCTTTTCCTCCGAGGGTCATTGTGTTTCTGTAAGAGCTGAACCTCACAGTGCTGCTGCTGTAATGTTCAAGATCCTCTCCGACATATTCTGCACATATATATTCAGAACTGTGCACTTTCAGCTTCATAATACAGCTGTTATTCCAAGTTTTCCGGCACAGTGCGATCAGTTTGAAAAGTAAACAGACATTTTGTGCAATATCTTTGTACGACAAAATTGTGAGAAATAAAACAAATCTGTATTTGTCATATTTGTACTTCAAGCTCCCACATGATTTTAGACTTTTCCCTTGAGCAGAGAAAGTATAGGGATGTTCATCTGTCTAATCCGCTGATAGACACGGGATATATACAAATAATTAATCGTGTTGTCTTGTGTTGTTTCAGCAGTAATAATCGTTATTGCAGAAGTCTCCTCGGTCAGTATCTGTTCAAGAAACTGGGGAGGAGAAGTAGAGAATAAGGGAGGTGGAACAGCAGGATAAGCCCCGCCGTGGGAATGCAGTAATTGTCATGACAAGTGCAGGAGAGCTTGGTACAGGATGATAGGTATGTTTTGGAAAATGACTATAATCAGGAGTAAGTCAAATGTTGTAAGTGTATGAAATGAAAAATACCCAGCCCGCTCCATTTTTAGGATATAGAATTAGTGTATAAATGATTGTTATGTATTTTAGTTCTCTACAGGTTGGTTCTTTCACTTTGTTTTGTATCTTTTAAAAGACCTACCCATGTTAAAGTATAACAGACTTTAGAGACACGTAGTATTGGGGATCCACACATGGTCCAAACTGAAATATCTCAGTAACCATTTCATCGATTACTATGACATTTTATACTGACATTCATGGTCCCCAGATGATAAATCCTACTTATGATTATTACAAAGTTTACATGACTTCCAATAAGTGTGACACTTTTCTTGATAACCACAATTGATAAGGGGAAAACACGGATACCTTGTGATGTAGTGGACCACGATGAAAATAATCCTTTATTGTGTGATTTTAACGTCTTTTACTGTCTGCAATGCAGTGTAATGTTTGTTATTGTAATGGCAATTTTAATGTTCCAATGTCCTATATCCTTTTGCCATTAATTCACAGGAGGGTTTAGAGTGATCCTGACACAGACAAACAGATGTTTTATTGCTTTACATACCAAAGTTTAAGTACACTGTGTCAATAGTTGTGGTATGAGCATCTGCCGGGGCTGTGGTGTGGTAGAATTGGTATGCTCTTCCTCCTGTGTCCTCGTCCTCTCCTGTCACCTATGACACCTGGTGCAGTTAAACCCCGCCACCAAGTGTTCAAAATAATATTGCACTATACATATACATTAAAGTAAACTGAGACACCAACAACACCCATACAATGGCTCCTAAAGTTATGTATATATGTGTTATAATGTATGTAGCTTTTTAATTATCCAATCATTTCAAACAATCACTCAATGCAAGACACATTTTAGAGAACCCTCACAAATTTAAAACGAGACCAAGAAAATTCAGTTGCCAAAAAGTGTTTTTAAACAATATATTTTGTGATGTGCGAAGACGAAGGAAATGTCAGATGTTAGCAAAGGGCGACAGAAAGAAGCTCACTGTTGTTCAAACTATTCTTTTATTTTTCTCTGATCAGTGTGTCCCTTCTTGGCTTGATAAGCATCTTTGACACATTTGCAACTACCTGACATACAATAAGGCACCAACTAAGGCTACATTAACAATTTCCAAAATGAGGGAAATTGTTTGGTCAAGGTGACATATGGAGAAAATAAATTACAGAGGGACACGATGAGTGCGAGCAGTGGAGGAGTACAGCTTTGTTACCTGTGGACCTTGGCACAGGAGTGCTTTGTGATGAGATGAGGCGGAGGAGGTGATGCGCCGCCGCATTAAGGCTAATTCTCTCATCTCGCTCAATCTACTCCCGGCTCCATCTGAACCTCTGCAGCAGTCTATGCTTGCCTCTCATTATGACCAAGCACTCCGCTGCCTGTCATTACAGCTGTAACTGTATGACACCACACTTTCAGGTGTAATGTCACCTGCGAGGAGACTTCAGCAGGAGTCGGATAATTAGGGACCATTTCGGCTCATGAAAAAGCCTAGGGGAAGGTTTCATTTCCATA